CAATGTCTTTGCTAGTTGCATTCGTTTTTATGATTGCTTGTCCAGTCTCATTGTCCTCCTCTTTGTCATTTTTTACATTTATAGCACCCTTATTTCCATTCGATTCTTCTCCATTTGAGTTGTCTGATTTTTCATCATTTTCATCTGCATTGATGGTATTTGACTTTTGAACATCAGTTTCTTCATCTTGTTTGTCACTTCTTATCATACGTCCACCACTATTGATCTGTATGCTGTCATTCTGTAAAGATTGATAATCTGTACATCGCTGACAGCCATCATTGATACCAGACATCTTTTGGTATTTTTGTATTAGTATTGATTTGAAAAATCTGATAATTGTATTTTTATTGTTGCTCAGACATTTTGGATTTGTTATTGAAGTGCTGATATATGGTTTTATATCTACTGACTGATTCGTTTGGGTGATTTCATTTTCACTATTCTTCATATCTGGAGTAATAGGATTGCTTGGAACCTTTTCATCCAATTGCTGACTTTGTCGTCTTGCTTCACTTTCTGCATTGGTCTTGTCTGAATCAATTTTTTCAGTTGCACGATTATCTGCTTCAGACAGAGTATCAGATGCTTTATCTTTTATTCTATCAATTCCCTCCATGTTGTATTTTATATGTGTGTCAGCCAAAGTAGGTTCAGCTTGCTCATTTGCTTGCTTCTTGATAATAGGAGTTTCTATAATTTTTTGTATCACCATCTCTGGTTGTTCTTTCTTATCCATTAGATATTGCATTCTTTGTTGCTGTTGTTGGGTCTCAAGTGTCAACTGTGTCATTGACTCCACTTTATTCATCAGTTCTGATATGAGCAGTGATTGTGACATCACTGTTTGTTGAAGTATCTTATTCTGCATATCAGATTCATCTGCTTTCGTTTTCATAGCTTCTAAGTTAATGGTCTGATCTTGAACTAGTTTAGAAAGTGTTTCCAATTGGGATTTCTGTTTCTTCACTATTTCTAATGATTTAGCTTCTATTTCGGAAGGGGGTAAAGCTGGGTATTTCTTCTCATCAAGTTGCGATTTATATATTACATCTGTTTTCATTTTTATTTCTGTAAAACTTTGATTTAGTTTTAGCAGTTCATTTTCTAGTTTTAGAATCGTATTGTGGAGCTGTGTAAGAGTAGAGGAATCATTTTGTTTCACCATTGAACTTGTTAGTAATTTGTTCTCTAGTTTTAACAGTTGCATTTCTAGGAACTGTAACTTTAAAGTGTGTTGAGCCTCAGTTTCTTTTAGCACACTTTTTATTTCATCTTTTATATCAGTGTTTGAAATTGTATGTTGCCTTGTAATATCAATTGTATTTTGATTGTTCAGGTTTCTATCAAGAACAGTATGAGAATTATCGATAATGTCTTCCTGGATCGAGTCAGTTTCATCTTTTATGTCAGATTTACTCAACAATGGTTGTTCCGTTTTCTCAATTGTTTTCATGTTCTCAACTGAACTATTGATAGCATCATTGATGTTGTCAATTGTGGGTCTTTTTGATATGTATACATTACAGATATCTGCCTTTCGTCTGTTTTTGATACAATACTTGAAGCATTTCATAAAATTTGATGAAGTATTCACTTTTGGCAAATTCATAGGATAGGTTAATGGTATCATGTTCCATATAGAGCAGATAAATGTGCTCATTGAATGTTTATACATGTACCTGATGCATTTTGTATGGTCTAACGTCAAATAACCATCCTTATGAACAGGTTTATCAGATGGTCTACATGTTAACTTGTGTATTGTAAGTTCCTTGAAGTAACAGTATAATAAAGTTACCATTCTCTGTTTGTCACAATTGGGAGCTTTCCACTTAGATTGTTTCTTTCTGTTCTCTGGAAGACTCATCAATCCCGACATGAAATGCATCACTGTATAGAATTCACATTTTGCATGGCATTGCTTACAGGATTGTCTTGTCACATTCATGATGTCATCTAGCTTTTGTTTTATTAAATGTTCAGTGACCTCAACTTCATTATTACATAGTTCTTTGAAATAGTAACACGCCATGGTTTCTAGATACTCCCAAGTTGTCATTGTGTGGTTTGCTGGAGAGATATTTATGTCTTTATACGTCAAAACTGTCATGTAGTAAAAACTTAAGCTGCATGAGTTTTTAGTTTGAGATTGCTTTATTAGTTTTTCAAGTGAAATGATATGTTTAGTGTTCTTTTGTTTTATGTCCTTTTTCTCATCAGTATCAGAAGGGTCGTCATTGAGACTTTGTGCTTTGGTGTCTGTTTTGTTACTTTCTCTTCTGTTTACATCAATTTTATCAGTATGTGAAATTACTTCATCAAGTTCAGTTGGGTCTATGTCGTCATCATCATCTTCTTCTGTATCATCAGTAGTATCATCCTTGTGATTAATATCATCACCATCATCATTTACATTATCAACTGGCTCCGTTTTCTTCTCTTTTGTCTTTACACCAAGCATTGTTTCATATGTGACCAGTATTGCACAGTCAACCATCACATTTTCCGGCTGTTTGATGATGTTCTCTATAGTCTGTTTCACTGCAGATTGAGATGCAGATAAGTCCCCGCTAAGATGACCCTGGACAAGTAGGTCCAGATACCATAGCTTAATATCACATTGTTTTCCTGATTCTGCACTTAACCTGGAATAGAATAAATGTATTAGAACATTGCATTGCATAACTTGTAACTTGTATCAACAACTTACATATAATAATGTTTGTTAAAAAATGCAATAGACAATAAGGCTTGGAATGCATCAAGCTGGATCATTCACTTTAATGAATGATACCTCATAAAAGAAGTTACTACAACATGTTATTCGATTCAAATTTCTCAAAACAACTGCTTGTACAGTAATTTTTATTGATTCAAAGTTAGTGTCAAGCAATGGACTATTGATTACTAATGTACGTTTAATTCAATATAGCATATATAGCAAGTTAAAGATAGTCATACGTTTATTTTGATAACCTTCAATGTTCATAATAATGAAGACATGCAAATAGGAATTGCTTATACTGTATTTCAGATTTATTTAACCCAATTAACTTTAAGCAATAATCATTAACATTAAAAACAAGTAGTTGAGATGGTTCTGACATTCACATGGTAGCAATGGGAATCATCATTTGTAATTGAAATTATTTTGTAATTGATATGAATCTGTTTACCTGGTAACTTGCAGAGAACACAATGTGATGATAAACATTACACTAGTCATAATTGTTGATTGCATCATATCTGGAAAAATATAAGAAAATAATGAAATATATAAAATTAATGGATAATTGTGATTGTGTGTATTTGTCAAAATAATCTTGTAATAACATGTACATTATATGTTGATATAATTCTTTTATTTATTTAATATACAAGCGTAATTGTATTCCTACCTTATATTCTTTTATTAAAAGTATGTTTTCTCAGTTAAGTTCTGATTTATAATTGAATCTGTAGTGTGATGAAACTCTAATAATATGAAACTGCACACGTGTGGATTTCCACCTCCTTAGTTTTGTGACGTTGCAATTTTGCATTACATGGCCAATATCAAAACTAAGTTAATCCTATAGCTTAAGAACATTAAACTTCATTTTAATGTCAATGTGATATGTTTTACTGTTTATTCTATAAAGCATTTTAAAGTAGCTATTGTTGTCACTCTCAACGATTTGACATCTATGTGTAATCAAAACAATTGAAATGGGTTAATGGTGAACTTTTAAGGGTAAATATTAACTTGTTGGTGTCTGTAAATGTAGTTAGAATCATACTCCAAATATGACACTTTCCCTCAATTTACCATTTTAATTTTTAAGATATTGATTTTGATTGAGTAGCAGATGTTGATTATTGAGTTAGAGTAGAAGAATAAACAGACCTCGAATCAATGATAATTTAATAACTAAGAAATGAATGAAATTCTTCATTGCCAGTGATTAATGTGACATCTTTTAAAGAAGTTCTTTCTATTTGAGTATAATTGTTGTTTGCTCGATCGGGGCAAATCATCACAATATACAATGAATGTATAAGCATATCATGACATATTAGTCATTTTTATATCGACACCTGTGTCAGATTTTCAATATTGGTGATATTGTTCATATTGGGCTAGTACCTAAGTTATAGGGCATGGTATAAGAGGTTGGAATCTACAAGTTTTGGTGGCCGGTTCTTAGCCCTATTTGCAAAAATAACGTTACGTAATGGTTATGTATTGAATTGTGTAAAATTATTTAATATAATGTAATAGTAATAAAGATTATTATCATTATAATTTGCCAACAAACACGAGTTGTTATGTCAACTAGTTATATATTTTTATTTGAGTGCCAAGGAAACCAGAATGATTACATAAATACTTTATTGGACACTTGTTAAGTAAGAAATGTGGCGCATTACCTAAAAAACATATCTTGAAATCCAACTTTTTAAAAAAAATTATATTGTTTTAGGTACACTTCTTTATTTCTCCTTATTTTTCCACATTGGTATTTGAAGTCTAAACAATCTTTTTATGTTAAGAATAAAATTGTGACAACATTTTTATTTTTTTATTTTACACACTAACGTTTGATTAGCATATTGTATTAATTGTTCCAAAAAGCCCGAGAATTAGGGATTCTATGCAAAAGTGGAACTATTTTGTGATGATAGCTTGATATCGAAAATAATTGAGGTATTAGAATGACTCGTAACAGGGGCGTAGCCAGCAAAAAATATGGTTTTTAGATTTGTTTTGAAAATTACAAAAATTGATGCCATTTCCTTCAAAATTGAGTTAGAATAAAAAATAAAATTCAAATAAAAAGCAATTTATTGATTTAAAGCTCATTTCATCTTCTATCTAGTGGCTCTATTTCTATTGGATATGGAGGGGGTGCTGGTCTTGAACTTTAGAAAGAAGTTAAAATGAAAATACAATAATTTATTTTTCCGTGCAGCTCCAATTGCCCCATTCAATATCATTGATTTGATTCTTTGATCATACATGTCATAACCATATTTATTAACAGTTACATATATATCTGTTTTATGTTTGTAAAATATTTGTTAATCTGAAAGGTTTATGTTCTTAATGATCTAATTAGGATGTTTTTCTAGCTCAGTGAATACGTTCCATAAATGCGGTAAAGTTTTTAAAGTTATCAAAAGACAAGTTTCGGTTTGGAGAACAGTCTACTGGCCTAATAATGTTTTATGATACATATAGAAAAAATACCCAAATTAAATTATGAATATTCAAAAGAGGACATTTAAATCAAAAATATGTAAAAATATCAAAATTGTGCGAAGCAGGCTTAACGTGTAGTAGGCTGATGAACTTCGTTCTACAAACCGAGTCTAGTCTTTTTGGTTACCAAAATAAGGCTTAAAACAATGGACTGTATGAGTTTTTCCAATGATAAAATAACATAGGGTATATTGTTTTCAACGTTATCGCATATTCAATGCCCTTCACCATTCAGAAGATACTGACGTAGTGCAGAAGAATGTATCGAGGTAGGGTCCCAAATCCATGGTTTTAAATGATTTTCTGAGAGACGAATTAATAATTTCATTATCATGGGCAATTATCCTCAACTGCCGAACCTTCGACCTTAACTGTTGGAAACGTATTCCTTTGATGAGACATGATGATTTCATACTTGCGATGCCATTTTAAGAAAAAAGGCTGTCATGTACTATTAATTATTTACCTGATTGATAATGTGTGATAACACATGTTACATAATTCGTATCATATCATATTAGAACAAAATTAATGGTAAGTGTAGTACTTCTCTCCTAGAAGAGTCGTAGAATACTGATAACACATCCCTCTCAAATAAGATATTTAGATTCTTGTATTTTCTTTGAAGTTCGTCAAATACTGGTAAGTAAATGTTTTTCTCATGATATGTGTAGAATTACTAAATGTATTATGATATCACTTTCATAACATGTTCATAGAGTATGATTATCTTGGTATTCTGCGAGGAAATAAACAAACTGATGACCAGATGACTGGCACTTCATGTTAAGGGCTGTGGTAGGTTTGTATGTCATGTCCCGAGGAAGTAAAAGTTGACATGAAAATACAGTTCACTCCAACTGCTAAGCCTGTACATGTAAGTTGATGGAATATAAAGTTTTTTGTTTTTCTAAACTACTGAACAATTGCAAAGTCAATAAAAGTTTGAATTTTGATAGGCTTTTTGACAGAGCTGAACTGAACATTGAATGATATAGTTTTAGTGGAATATTGAACTTATCGTTGGACATGATGAGAATAAACTTAAGGATCGGAGGGCCGTGCAAATACTTACAGTGAAATATATGGACATCTTAAAAAACTAATGGTGAACTACAAGTAGCCGCTCATTGTTTCATGTGACTTTAAATTATGAAAATTGCTATTATAAGTTGACATTAAATGAGGATTTATGAACACGTATCACAATTTCAAAACAGTTGTTAGGCAAGCCTTATTGATAAACATTCAAATAGTGTACCTGTTTGATTTTGGATATGTCAACATTTTGACTCTTGTCATATTTTATAGTCACTTATAAAGCCTGCCAGTAGGCCCTATACTGTATCCAACCTTGAATAATTAGAGGTCATTTCTAGTAGACCATTGCATTGTATTGGATTACAGATTTTAGTCAGTAGTGGTTTACATGATTCATAGCATGTATTGTTGCCCTTTGTGTATTCTTTGGATCCATTGTAAATTAACTATTTGTGTTTTGCATCGAAAAGTATTTCTTTCACCATTAATTGACTTTTCAAAGATCTAAACATATATTTTTTATTATTAGTTTTATTATAGAATATAGCATTTCAAAATTTACCCCGAGCCATTGTCAAGTTAACAGAAAATAAAATGAAATAGTTTTGTAATTTTAAACCAAGGGGTTATCGAAGGGTCTTTTTTGTTCAGTATATTCTGTGGCCAACGTCTGAATGGATAGAATTCACCTCAAATATGTCAATCTAGTTGATCTAGTATAATTTTATTCAAAACTGAAAAACTATTGATGATACTACTTGTTCGATCAGAACTCGATCAGGACACATTGAAACATTTTGAGGAGGCCTGTAAACAGAAATTATTAAAAGTTAAATTTTACATTTTGAACAGGCCTCGTATTTCATTGATCAGTATTTTGTTTTATCGTATTTCATTTATCATAAGAGTGGGGAACTCTTAATATGTACGAGGAATACCAACGCACAACATAAGAATACGCTTAATAGAGATTGCCAACATGCTGAGGGATATCATCGTCTATGCAACTTTAGTGGGTAAGTAATTAAACTTTTATTTTTCAAAAGTTCTAACAAACAGGACTAGTTCGACATATATGATTCCATGAACTTTCCAAATTGTATAAGTGTATTTGAATAACTTTATATTTGGAATATGCATCTACATATATGTACATATTGACTTATTGATATAAATGTAATTATGAAATGTCCAAGTGTTTAGCACCATCCATATCACGTTTAACTTGTCAGGTTTATTTTCATCATAGTGTGCATGAAAATGGAATACAAAAATTTTGATTACATTAAAACTGTTTTAACAAAAGTGTTTCATAGTTAACTTTTATGACAGTGTTTGTCAGAAGCTGTTTTGTTCAAAGGATTGATCATATACATGTATAGCTCATCATATAGCTTGTCCTATAATTATTTTAATTCAAGGCTAGATTTAGGTAAAATGCTAAACCTATTTTGCATTGTATGTAAATTGCAAGTAAACAGCCATATAGGTTATCACAAACGATTTTAGATGGTTATTTCTTTGTTTTGGCCACTTTCTGACCAAGAAGACGGGCATATCTTTTAAATCCATTCATTATCTCAAATAAAAGTAATTGATAATTGAGTCAATCAGAATCGGTAATAGTGAGGTAGCGATCAACATAGATATACCCATAATTGATATCTTTAAAACTCCCCTAAGGAATGCATTATTTCTTTAAAGAGGATAACTGTGTCTCAAAATGCAACATATTAATGCAACAAAAAATTAAAAAGCAGGGGTGGAAAGGGTTAATAATCAGGATAACATTTCAAACAAAACATATTTGTGGGTTGTTCGCGCCTTCCCTGTCTCAAGGTCCAAATTATTTTATCATCTCTATGAGTGCTTTTCCTGGAGATAATGCATTGGGCTAACATATGCCCCTGTTTGAATCCTCAGAAAACAGACAAAAGTCAACATATGAATGTCTGAAATCTATTGCGATACTTTCCGCGCTCCTTTGTGGCTTAAATGAAATTGATTAATTTTCAAAATAGGCTATACAGAAACTTGAAAATCTTTCAAGAAAATAAAGATTTCTCCTTTAAAGATATTAACAACGAAAAATGAAAGGTTTTTGAAGATACAGGGTGGGCCAAAAAACGCCACTTTTTTCAAAATGCTATAACTTTTTTAATTTTGATACAAAATCATAATTTGCATACCAAATGAACTTGAGGTTGTTATCTAGCCATGGATCATGAAGTATACACTTTTACTTGAATGAAACATGTCACCAGCGTCTCACTTAAACATGTGGTGTGACATGAGGAATTTATAATTTGCAAAATGTTCCTGAACTGATACGGCCTGATGATCGCCAAACTTATAGCCCTGGTGTAAACCCCAGTGAGTATAGGGTGTGGGAAGGTCTCCAGGAGATTGTATGAAGGCACCCAATCTAGAAAATTGCTCGACTAAAGCCATGACTAAAGCTGGCAATTAAGACAGGTTGAAAAAACTTAGCTAACATTTCATTGATACTGCTATATCTGCAAGGAGACTAAAACTAAAATATATCATCAATTAGGGTGGCGCACCAATCGAACTCCCATTTTAGATCAAATATAATCTAAGTTGAAGGACTTGTCACATCATATTATTACTAAGAACCCGTGGCACTATATAACTGCAAAACTTGGGGTATGTAGGTTAGAAAATAAAAAAGTTGTCTCTTGAAAAAAGTGGCGCTTTTTGGCCCACCATGTATTTACGAAAAAATATGGAAAAACATTTTATTCAAAAATTGATGAATAATCATGTTTAAATAAATTGTATTAGGCTAGTTATTATGTATTTAAATTGCAATGGTGTAATGTTTAATGTGTCTCATAAGCCCAGGTAGGACTGGCTATTTTGAATAAGTGACATTTGAATATTTGAATAAATAGATGAATAGAAAAACTACCTTTCAAGACGTTGACTTCATACCAAAAAAGGTAATCTTTTTACATTGTTTAATGCACTATGTACTATTCTTGATTTTGATGTATCGATTAGTTCTTGAAAAATGTGTGTTCCCCATCTTATTTCATTAAAGGAGAAAGCTCATGCTATCCATTAATTTCAGCTCATTTTGGTCATCCGAATGCAGTATCTTTTAAGTATCTTGAGCATTTTTTCTTTTTGGAAATAAAACTTGTCTCAAACCACATTTTAATTATACATTTAACATTATACATATAAGAAAAGTTAGTCTGAATTATTAATTATCATTATTTTTATTTTCCTGAGGTAAAGATGAATTTAAAAGATTAATTAATTGACCTTTCCTTAAAACAACAAAGATTTCAAGGATATATAAAGAAAACTATTTCAAAGGCAATTGGATCAATTGTGTATCATATTAATGATAATCATCCTCCCAGTATATTGATATATTGTGTAATATTAATACCTTTATGTTTTAGGTGTTTCTTGTGCAATAACCCAGGAGAATCTTGACTACATTGGTGATAATTTAGATATCACATATGACGTTGTTACTAACTTTGTGCCTGAGAATGATACTTATACAGGGAAGCTCACCTTCAAGAATTCTGGCCAAAATGTTATCAACAATGATGCATGGGCCATATATTTTTGCCATATAAGGATAATAGAACAGTCAAGAATCTACCATGGTAATTACATAGACCCGAATGGATACACTGACCCCAATACTGGTGCAAAATGGTCCCATGTTAATGGCTGCTTGTTTAAAGTAGAGCCAACGGCTACATTTGAAGATATTACTGCTGGTGAGTCACGTGAAATTTTGTTCATCGCTGGAGCCTGGATGATTTCTCGAAGTGATACTATGCCCAATTGGTATGTGGCAGCGGATGGTCTCGAAGCCCGTACAATTCAAAGTACAGCCTCCGAAGATCTTGACTTTGTGTCTGCATTTGATTCTGTTGAGAAATGGAAACGATATGAAAATGACAAGTATGTATTACAAGAACAATATTGGGGATAAATTTATCAATATTTTCTCTAATATTGTCATAAGTTTTAGTTTTAGGCCCCATTATACTTTCCAAATACCCCATGCATCATTCATTTACTAATTTTCATGACTTGAAAAGATATTTTTTTAAATGTATTCTTGAAAAAAGTTGTCACCTTTTTATTATTATATTAAAAGTTGAAAAACATTTCATCATGAAATATTCCACTAAAGAATTCAAATACCTTACGATTACATCACCATTGCGATGACTGAACAACGGACACTCTATTTCAATAATAAAATGACCTCTCTAAAAAGTTCCACATACCACATTTTGACAATTTGGGTAAGACTACATCATAAGCTAAAGTTGTATGAATTTCATACCTGGCCTTAATGTTTTAGCTCATTGCAGGTATGATCCCTATACCCCCGAGAAGCGATTCACTATCAATGCTGTCCAAGATGATCTTGGTGCTGCTCAACACTTAGTTCTCCCAACACCTGTCAAAGTAGAAGTAGATGACACATCGACTGTTTCCATATCAACTGGAGACTGGGTCATAGTGATAAAGGATAATTTGCAACAAGAAGCTAAATATCTATCAGGTACCCACTTTTCTTTGTTATACCTTGCCTTACTGATAATTTATTATATTATTTGCAAAATGGTTTGCAACTAATAAGTATAGAGAATAGCCTACACTTTGACAAATATCTAACACTCGTTTTATCTACCATGAAGTACATCTATAAATATTCAAAAATGATAAATTATGACCATTTGATAAGCTCAACAGTTAGTAATAAGCAACAGTTGGACATTCGAGATATTAAATAACAACTGTGAGATTGTTTTACTGGAAGAGTATTGCCTTGTGAAATATAATATATATTGTCCCTCACCAAAATAATAAGAATTACATAAACGAACAAACATTATTAATCAGCAAAACAAGAAATACTGTCAATACTTTAAATTCCAGAAAAACTCTCAATGGGGACAACTACTGTTACTCCAAGCTCGAAGTATGTACTGCTCCAAGTTAACAATACCTTGCTTGTGGATGATCAGACTACAAGTAACAGCGAGGCTTACACTCTTGTAGTTGACACAAGTAGCCAGGTGATTACCCTAGAGGGCAAGAGTCCTACAGGTGTATTCTGGGCTGTCCAGTCGCTTATAAGTATCCATGATGGCACAAATGGACGCATTCCCGCTGTGACACTTAGTGATCAACCTAGGTCAGTTCAGTTTAGAATTTTCACTCTCATGTCATAGTTTCTCTCATAATACAGTTCAGTTTAATAAGTAATTTGTTGAGTTTAATGATGAGAGTAATGCTTGTTGTAGGGAATCGAATTGAGCTATATTTTATTCATCAATTATAGTTCAATTTGTGTTCCAGATACAACTACAGGGGCATGCATGTTGATGTGAGTAGGAACTTCCATAATAAAGAAAGCATACTGAGACTCATAGATGGCATGTCCCTTTATAAGCTGAACAAACTACATTTTCACCTAACTGATGATGAGGGATGGAGACTCGAGATTGATGGCATTCCAGAACTCACAGAGGTATATACAGGTTGCCCAGAACTTTCTCTTTTGTTATGGCTTTGTAGAAATGTAACTAGCCTGTTTTCTGCAATGGTAATATGCATCTTTTAATCTCCTTACTACTTAGATGTAAAAGATTTTTCTATAATATTAATCATGGATGATCAATTTTATTCTAAGATTGGCGGGTTCAGATGTCATGACCTTGCAGAGGGCCAGTGTGTTCTGTCTCAACTTGGTTCAGGACCAAACTCGTATAAATCTGTCAATGGCTTCTATACTGCCCAGGATTACAGGCAAGTCCAATTTCCTATAAAAAAGTATTACAAATTATGCAATTCTCTACATAGTGAGTATTGAAAACATGTTCAAGGTATCCACTTGAAATACCTGAATAAATTGTACCTGTTGTAGAGAAATTCTGCAGTATGCAACAGACAGGCATGTAGAGGTCCTTCCAGAGATTGATGTTCCTGGCCACTGTCATGCTGCTATCATAGCCATGGAACAAAGAAGAAGAATGCTTGAAGCCAATCCTATTCAAGGGAGTCCAGCAGATCAGTATCTTCTATATGAGGCAGATGATCCTTCCAAGTATGTGTCAGTCCAATATTTTACTGATAATGGTATAAACCCATGCCTTAATTCAACATATGCTTTCCTGGAAAAAGTTTTTTCTGAAGTAGTTAAGCTTCATGATGGTATTGCCCCGCTGAAAACATTCATATTTGGTGGGGATGAGGTTGCTGAAGGTGCATGGCTTAACTCTACCGCTTGTGAGAAGCTGGTAGAGTCGGGGGAGGTAGCAAGCCATCACGACCTGAAGGAATACTTTGTGAAAAGAACAGCTAGTATCATGGAGGGCTATGACCTTGGTGCATGGGAGGATGGAGTACTTGGGGAGGTCAATAAGACTGATGTTGCCTATGATATCACACAGCTAAAAAACAACGGAGATGTGTATGCCTATGCTTGGCAGAATATCTGGGAATGGGGTGTTGGGAACCGAGCCTACAAACTTGCCAATGCAGGATATAAGGTATTTATAATTTTATATTTGTAAATTATTCTATCTAATAGGAGCTATGCCAACATGAACCCATTGTGTAACGTTGTAATAATTTTCATATGTGGGCCTCTTATCAGAAAGATATTATGCCTATCCTGTAAATAAAAATGTAAATGCAATCACATTACCCATGTTTCCCATTGTAGACTTATTTTCCAGACAGTCATGTCTCAGGCAACACACACGTACTTTGACCACCCATATGAGCCTGATCCAGAAGAGCGTGGCTTCTACTGGGCCCCACGGTTTATTGACACAGAGAAAACATTTGGTTTCATGCCTGACAGTCTCTATGATAATATAGATGTTGCACGGAGTGGAGAGGTACTGAATAAAGAGACTGAGTGTGCCAAATCTGCAGAGTGGTGTCTACCTTTGGAAAAGCCTGAAAATATAGTTGGTAGGTCTGACGTACTTTAAGTTAAAAATGTCCACCCGTGTAGCTCAGCGGTAGCGCAGGTACCTCTTACGCAATATGTCCCGGATTCGATCCCCCGTTCAGGCAAGACTAAATTTGCTTGTTTGCGTGAAGTATTTCAGGGTGTTTGACTGAGTGGTCCGCAACTTGTACAAAAGGCTGTGGTGTGTACTTGTCTATGTATAAGAGCACATAAAAGAACACAGGGCTCCTTCAAGGAGGGGTTTCTGGGTCTATCTTCCATGTAAATTACGTAAATTACGACCGTATATATACGGGATATACCCAAGAGGTATTGCTCACCTTCATTGGTGGTAAACAAAATACAATACAATAAGGTGACAAAATGACAAGCAACCAATGTGTCCTTCATATTCCATATAGACGATTACGAATGATTAAAATGTTGCTCATTTTTGTGCGTGTCTGATCAGGTATAGCAGAAGGCTAGCATAAAAATCATGGTATCCACAGGTATTTTTAATATGACAACAATTTTTTCAAATCTGTTTGCCTTGAATAAGAAATGGTATTTTTACATTTTAGAAAATAGACATGGCATGGAGTGATCTTGAAAACCTATACCTATGTATTATAATAACAGAGAAATATCCTCCTTTTAGCATGCCTGTCATGTCTGACAATTACATAAATTGTTGCAATTTATTATTGTAGGCATGCAAGGTCAACTATGGAGTGAAACTGTACGTACAGCAGAACATTTAGACTTTATGATATTTCCTAGAATCATAGCCCTTGCAGAGAGGGCCTGGCACAAGGCAGATTGGGAATCCAGTTCAGATAAGACTGAGAGAGAAGCCGTGAGGCGTGATGACTGGGAGAGTTTTGCACTTACTTTGGGATATAAGGAGCTGAAAAGATTAGAGGAATTGCAGATTAAATACAGAGTGTCCCTGCCTGGAGCAAGGTATATATGGAGCAAGGAGTGCGCCAAAAAGCCAATACCCAAGTTTAAAGATGAATGATTTGTATGATTTATGTTAAACCATGCCATGTATTACATTTCATTTTAAAAGATAAATCATTTTCTTATCAACTGAAAAAAATTTGTTCTTCGTGGAGGGTTTTCAATCAGAGTAAATGATGTCATATTGTTAGGAAACTATTTGTCTTTAAGATGGTATACAATACATGGCATGGTTTAACGTTATATCATATGATATTGATCCTTAAACTTGGGTATTTTTTGCCCATCTTGTATAAATTAAGATTTCATTGTGATGTACAGTATAAGGATTTACAAGATGTTGTTATTAAAATTTTATATATTCAAATTGTACTCAATATCATTTTGGCTTTTACTTGTTGATGTACAATCATGGTTTAAGTCAGATATAATTTCCTGTTTCAGAGTAGTTGATGGTAAATTAGAGGCAAACACAGGCTACCCAGGTGAAACTATTCAGTACAGTACAGATGGTAGTACATGGAATACATTCACATCTACATCGTCTCCATCTGGTACCGTCTACCTTAGAACTATGTAAGTTGTTTTATTGATTGACCCATATCTAAAGATGCAATGGTATCATTTGTTCTGTTGGTGAAATAACTAAGCTTTCAACGACATTATTGTTAATATTAAATGCCTTGCCAGCGAGTGCGAGTCTTGCGGTAAAATTATCTTTCAGAGTTTTTCTAGATACTCCCTAAGAAAAATAACTTGCTCTCCATAGCTGACAAATCTTGTTTAATTTTTGTCACATTTAGAATATGCTGTTTACACTATAAGTTTAGTTGTGTTGTATTAGGGTTACTAATAACAAATAACAGCTGTCCTTGAGAACATATCAGCAGTTTGTCCTGTGTATCATAATGATGTCATAATACATTAACCCATACCATTAATCGTGTTAGATGATTGTATTTATATTTTTGTATTGTTTTCAGAAGCTCTGCTGGTAGAGCTAGCAGACAGATACAGATAGAAGTAGATGGTTGTGGTGCCCCAACCTGTGGGACTAGTAGCATTGTGCACAATATGATCGGACTCTCCATTTCTCTCATAACAGCTTATCTCATCAGCTCCATGTGATATTATCATTGGACTTGATGTCTTCGTCTGATTAATAATAGAATGAAGTAAATGTTATTTAGCGTAAAGCATTCAAATCATAATATGGGACACTTATCAATTTTGAGCATATACTGTATTTTCATTGATTCCAAGAATCGTGCAAAACAAGTTAAATTTCGAATCTTTATGTAGCGTATTGCGTAAGATGTCGTGATTTTTTAATGCTCATATAATTTGCTCATCATAATGTATAGCTCCGAATGTGATGACATTTCTATGATTGTCTACAACATGTAGACTTATAAATTGACAACATGAGCTGGAATTCATCATCATTATATACTTTGATTGAACTGTTTTGGTTGTTCAAGATGACCACGGCCACTGATGGGAATTAGTGGTAAATGATAAAATGTTCGAGATGTATTCATCATACTCTTATAAGATATAAGATCTATTAAAAAAGGCGCAACGCAACCAACGTGCAAAAGTCAAAGTTTTTGCTATAAATCAAGCAACAATGGACTACACGACCTGTAATAAATACTTGTAAGTGATGTTATCATAACTAAATTAATGTCATTGCTGAATTTATAAAATAAGTTTCCATACGTAAAATAAAAAATAATCGAAAATAATTAAAATGGGACGGAGGGGGGGGGAGGGGACGGAGGGGGGGGAGTAATAAATCTATAAAGTGAAACAACTTCACACGAATTCTTGTATTTGAAAAATGAACTCATTAACTTAGTAAGAAACTGGATGATATACCCCTAGAGACTGAAAAATGGGGACATTTGGAGTAAAAGGACTTAAAGTCGCGAAACATCTCTAACCATGTCTTATATACATATTGCTCCCCCCCTCCGTCCCCTCCCCCCCTCCGTCCCAAATTCATTATTTTCGATTATTTTTTATTTCACATATGGAAACGTATTTTATAAATTCAGCAATGACATTAATTTAGTTATGATAACATCACTTACAAGTATTTATTACAGGTCGTCCAGGCCATTGTTGCTTGATTTATAGCAAAAACGTTGATTTCTGCCTGTTGATGGCCTCGCGCCTTTTTTAATAGATCTCATACCTTAGATACGTATCGTTTCAGAAAAAATCCCAGAAAACCTAACATATTCTACCATACCGTGCGCCTATCCATTAAGCAATTCAATAGTAAACTTTTTCTTGAAAAAATAAATCTTCCAGATTTGTTGAATTTCCTAGCAGAAATTGCCTGCTCCCCCCCTCCGTCCCATATTCACGATCACCGGGTGTGTTCATAAGTAAAAATATATTTTCTCACTTTTCATAGATGGCGCTCATGTGTATATAATTGCCAATATGATTTAAACAAAATATAATGTCAGACACTAGAAGGAAGAACAAGGTCGCGATAAAATTGCGAGAATTTAAAATATGTTATCATATTAGTCCACTTGATTTTTGAATAAAATGCAACATTATTTTGAACTATGTGTTCATTGTAGTTTGTGTTTTGTCTTCTAGGTTAGTCTTTACCAACAAATTGGGTATCACTTCACTTTGATTCCCCCATGTTTGGGGAATCATTGATTTTGATTTTATCTTCCGGATGAAACGATCCATCTGAGTCGTGCATGTCAGGCTATCAGATTTATCATAACGCTCTCTCATCTGATCAATATGTCTTCTTACTACTCTACCATCATTTAATTTTACTTGGTACATATTAACATTCAATCTATGTGTTACCTTAAAATGTTGTCTTAAGATTTGAAGACAAAATATATAATACGTTGATATATCCTTATTTCCGCGAAGGAGGTACAGGTACCCGGACAGACATTTACGTCACATATATAGGGTGTCTCAAAAATGTACCCCAAAGTATATCAAGAGCAAAGATAAACAAATCAATATTTTCAGACATTTTTTGCATGGTCATGTAGCCAGAACATGAAAGTTTTCTCCCCAATACACCATTTTTATTTCAGTCTTGTCTTTTTGATCCTTTAACCCTTTACCTTTTACACCACAAAATCGATGTAACCTCATATTTCGATGACAGCCTGTACCCTTACTGCTACATTGTTCATCACATTTGATAATAATTCCGGTAAAATGTTTTGGATTTCTCTTTGGATGTTGCCCTTAAAATGTTCTAGGTATTTTTGCTTGGAATGAGCATTATTTTAAAACACTCCTTCAAATAGCCACAGAGAAAGATATTTGAGGATGACGATGGCAGAACAAACACAGATAATCAGGTCAATTATCGGCAAATGATTCACGAGTTACCTTCCAGAGTTAGGCAGGCTAGCCTGGAGACCAAATGATATCCAAATGAAAACACAGTGCTCTCAAATTGATACACACAACAAAAGCTACACTAGAATCCCAACCAATGCAGTTTCTTGAACATCTGACCTCATTTTCTCTGAGGCTATTTGAAGGACCATTTTTATGCTAAACCCAAGCTCAGAGACCTAGAACAACTTCAGACCAGCATCCGAACAGAAATCAAAACATCCCAGCACCAGAAATATCGAATGTGATGAACAATGAAGTAGTAAGGATGCAGACTGTCATCGAAATATGACTTTACGTTGAATATGTGGTGTAAAAAGTAACTGGTTAAAGTATCCAAAAGGCAAAACTGAATTAAAAACTGTGTAGAGGGGAAAAACTTTCATCTTTTATCTACAAGACCATGCAAAAAATGTCTGAAAATATTGATTGTGTTACCAGTCAGCAAAATATTTCAAACAACACAACACTTGTTGCATATAAAAAAGTTTGAAAAAAGCCAAACTGAATATATAGGTTGTCTCAAAAAAATGTACCCAAAAGTATATCAACACCAAAGACAAACAATGTCCTCAAAATTGAGTAGATTGCCCTGTAGAATGAATGTGGCATGAATACCACATAGTGATTGATAAAATATTCAAAATCAACTATGGCATAAGAAAATGGGGTAATTCATGACCATAATGGTTTGTTTTGTTCAGCCTGCATTCAACTGCATTGCATGTTAAACAAGCTAAAATAGCTTCTGAATGTTTGACGCCATGCCGGTCCCGGGGTACAAGTACGTATACCTCCTTCACGGAAATAAAGATATATCAAAATATATTACATGTCTTGTTTTCAAATCTTCAGAGTTGATAGATAATTGAATGCTGTATCACTGGTAGGAAAATCAAATGTATTGGTCCATAAAAAGCATCCGTGTAAAAAATTGTCCATTTCTTATTGCTACTTCGCGGAGTTGCTATTTCTTTAGTTGCCTTGAGAGTAAGATATTGTCTTTTTGATATAGCGGCATGTAGTTCAACGCCGTTAAACCCAATAACGGCGTTCTTTACTATTACATCTTCTTTACTCGTTATCGGGCTTACTATTCTTTCCTTTATTGCAAGTTCTGGATCCATCAAACAATTTTTTTCGCGATAACATGCAACTGATACTTGACAATAATATAAAAACACATGACATCAGGCGATTTAACACAATATTATTGTGTTCAATGTTCATTTATACTTATAAAATGAGGCTACACTTACCAATCTCTAAAATGACATTTCTGCATGTCCGTCATTGTGTCTGTTCGTCCTAGTGTCTCGGATTAAAATTAAACTATTAGCGAAACGAAATTGTTGTCAAATAGATCTAATTATTATCGCGATTACTCGGGATAAAATATCAATTTTGAGGAAAACATGTACAGGTATCTTTGATTGATCTATATAACGCGTATATACACGCAAAAAATTTATCAATTGCAAACCTAATGTTTGATAATTCAGTGCCGCATTTTCTGATACAATTTGCAATTTCGATGTTACCAGAACTGACCGACATTTTCGTTATATTTCAAACCTGTCTCCAATATTTTTGTAATTATGAATCAATAGGTTCTAAGGGGGATACGGGATGGTGTGTATGCATTCATAAGAATATATGTATGCATGCTTTAATCACATTCTTTATTTAATATTACCATGTTTTCAGGGTTTAATTAGTTCCGCTTATCGAAACCTGCGGAATGATTAAATTAACACATCAAAGGCAAAATGATCATGGAGGTTAAACCTAGCCCTTGCCATAAGGCATGTCAGATAAGAAACGAGCTAGGCCCAGGCTAGGTCTAATGTTGTTGGACTAAGCGGCATGAAGCCAAAAACTTTTACATGTCAAAATAAAAATCTATGATAACCCCAAACCCTAGTGTTAACCTGTAGTTCAAAACACAACCCTCACTGTGAAATAATAATATAATAGTGTATACATACATGCTGTTATATTTTGAAAAAGACTAAGGGATATTAGTCGAAAGTCTCAATAAATTAAAAATATTCTCTGAAGTAAAGAATTTGACTTGTTTCTGAAATAATATAATAAATATGTGTAGTCAGTCAATGTTCTCTTCCTAATTGCACTTTCAATATTCACATCTCAGCTCATCTTAAGGTGCAGTGGTACTTAACATGAAATGACTAAAACAGGAAGTGACAATACCATGCTTCATTTCAAACATTTTTTGAACCAAGATAACAGAGTTCTGTATTCACCTCCAGTCAGTTTAATAAGTTTCACATGTCATTTACATGACCAGGATCACAATGAGTATGGTCAGAATGACCCCAAACATGACGAAATACCTTTTTCAGCCCTCTGAAAATGTGACTGAAAAATAGCTACAAGTAGGCGCTTTGGAAAGGTCACTGAACAGAATCTTTTGAAAATTTGATGCCATACATAGAGAAAGAAAAAAAAGAAAAAAAAACTGAATTGAGAAGCGGTCTATTTTCTTTTTATAACCGCCATTTTTGCTGCCATTTTTGCTTCGGACAATTTTCAAAAATTATAAAGATTGTATCATTTAGAACAATTTATTGGGCACATTTTCTGAAAAATTCAAAAGATTCTGTTCAGTGACCTTTCCTTATTATTATTTCAAAGTGAGGGTTGTGTTTAGAGCTACACTTTAACGCTAGGGTTTGGGGTTATCATAGAATTTTATTTTAACAATTGTAACATTGTGACATAAACCGACTCGTGAATACCTATCCGTTATTTTGGATATGTCAACATTTTGGCTCTTGTCAAATTGTATAGTCACTTATAAAGCCTGCCAGTAGGCCCTATACTGTGTTCAACCTTGAATAATTAAAGGTCATTTCTAGTAGACCATTGCATTGTATTGGATTACAGATTTTAGAATAAAAGCAACAGTAGTGGCTTACATGATTCATAGCATGTATTGTTGCCCTTTGTGCTTAATCATACATTCTTTGGATTCATAATTTATCATTGTAAATTAACTATTTGTGTTTTGCATCGAAAAGTATTTCGTTCACCATTAATTGACTTTTCAAAGATCTAAACATATAAAAATAAGCTGTTATCATTTATTTTGTTTATTAGATGTTAATTATAAGTGCAGTTAGAAGTTGTAATATTGGAAAGCTCTTACATGGTTTCAAAAATGAGGAATATATTACACAAAGGTGGAAAGTCAGTGTCATTAAAAATAACTGAATCGAGTCTGCCAGTAAAACATTTGTATGAGAAATTAATTTTATAACAGCCTAGAAGCTATATGATGATATAATGTAGCTAGCAGTTTTATTATAGAATATTACATTTCAAAATTTACCCCGAGTCATTGTTAACAGAAAATAAATGAAATAGTTTTGTAATTTTAAACCAAGGGGTTATCGAAGGGTCTTTTTGTTCAGTATATTCTGTGGCCAACGTCTGAATGGATAGAATTCACCTCAAATATGTCATTCTAGTTGATCTAGTATAATTTTATTCAAAATTGAAAAACTATTGATGATACTACTTGTTCGATCAGAACTCGATCAGGACACATTGAAACATTTTGAGGAGGCCTGTAAACAAAAATTATTAAAAGTTAAATTTTACATTTTGAACAGGCCTCGTATTTCATTGATCAGTATTTCGTTTTATCGTATTTCATTTATCATAAGAGTGTGGAACTCTTAATATGTACGAGGAATACCAACGCACCACATAAGAATACGCTTAGCCTAATAGAGATTGCCAACATGCTGAGAGATATCATCGTCTATGCAACTTTAGTGGGTAAGTATTTAAACTTTTATTTTTTAAAAGTTCTAACAAACAGGACTAGTTCGACATATATGAGAACATTTTTAACTCCCGGGTTTTAACTATTGCTATGTCAGAGTTTTCCTCTAATAATGCGACTATGAAGCTTTTTCAATTCCATGAACTTTCCAAATTGTAAGTGTATTTGAATAACTTTATATTTGGAATATGCATTTACATATATGTACATCTTGACTTATTGATATAAATGTAATTATGAAATGTTCAAGTGTTTAGCACCATGTATATCACGTTTAACTTGTCAGGTTGTTGTTATCATAGACTTATTAAATGACCAACGATGTGATCTCTTCTATATATAATTCCCATGGTATTGACA